TAATTGTTAAGGCCCCTACATTTATGGACCCAGCTTTGGACGAAAAACGAGGCCACGAAGCCACGAATTTCAGATGTCGATGCCTTCCTCTTTGCCCGTTCTTAGTTTCAGATGCAGTGCCTCCCGCAGCAGCTGCTGGGAGAGTTGGTGCCGACATGGGCACGAGGTCTGCGCGGCCCGTGTTTATGCTCTCGACAACGTGCTGAGCAGCCATTAGACAGACATCGATGACACTTCGCAGACAACTGCAGTTGCAAGGACTGCAAAGGACGTTCAAAACCTGACACAGTCCTCACAGCAATAAGAGTCAATAATCGTTTCGAGCAGCCATGGATACGACATTCAAGCCGGCTTTGGAATCGGTGCGCTGGGGGAGAAGGTTTCGGTAGGTTTCTCATTCGAGAAAAGGCTGGGAGGGATCTTCCTGCAAAGGGGGGCGGTCTCTCTTGAGGTGAGACTCGGACCATTCTTTGGGTAGCATTTCGGCAGCGCGACAAGTCACCCAAGTGTCTGCAGGGCAAAGAATGAATATTTACTGGTTCAGAAATCTCAGAAGGAACCAGCTTGTCACACGCTCACATCACGCCATCACTCCATCCGTCGTGACAGCACCGTCACCATCATGATCATCATCATCATCATCATCATCCTCGTGCTCATCCTTATCCTCATCGCCATCCCATCCCAATCCCCGTCCCCATCCCCATCCCTCTCCCAATCCCTATCCCCATCCCCCCTCCTGCTCCTCCTCCTCCTCCTCCTCCTGCTCCTCCTCCTGATCATCATCATCATCGCCGTCGTGATCATCATTGCGGAGCCATCATCATCATCTTCATCGAATCAGACATACGCTCGATGCTCAACAACTGCAGCGACCGAAGCAAGACGAAGCTCAAACAGTAACACTGGTAAGTACTGATATATGCGTATTCCAATGGATATGCATTTACTTTACCACTTACCAGTCTTACCATTGGTGCGACACCCCTCGGGAGGAGTTCGGCAAGGCTCTTGCCACCCTTCGCCGGGATCCTTATGGCCGTCTCCCGCAGAAGCAGGCCGAGGCAAACGCGAGATAAATCGCAACAGAGCATGTGCTGTGTGTCGAATTTGAGATCGGGCTGTGCGATGCCCAGCAAAGTCTATTCACGTCTGTGACACATGGAGTTTCATCAGCTGTTTACTCGTATGCATAATCGTGTACTGATGTTGGGCAAGCTTGGTTCCCCTTTGGCCCTGGCTCTGCCGGGTTTGCCCAGTGTGATGTTGCAACGGAGGCGATCGTGGCTTTCTTTGCTGCGACTCAGCCCTCCGAGAAGGATGTCCGCTTCTGATGACAATTCCGAAACATCTGGCGCCACCATTTCTTGCTTTCTTCCTCACAGTCGCATGGCAAAGGAATCTGTCGTGATCCACGGTCTGCAGCCCTATCTCAGCTCGATGAGACAGTGTCAACTGCCGGTTCACCCCTCTATCGCCTGTAGGAGCGTTTGGGATGGAGCTTCTCCGAGGAGCTGGATTCTTTTACCAGGCAGGACACGTCACTTTACTGTAGGGCCATGTAGGGCCTAAATGTTACCAACACTATTTTGGGGGTTCCGTGCTTTATAATCACAGTATAGTCGACCCCAGAACCCTATTCTAATTGTTAAGGCCCCTGCATTAGACGTGCCAGCTTGATGTCTGCGCAGCTCCTATCAGGATACTGCCGTATGTGATCTGCGCATTCAATGCCATCGACCGTGACTGCGACACCTTGGTTTCGGATCAGGACCTCACTAGCTGCAATGTGACGAGGGCTTAGGGTTAGGGACTAAACCGAAGCTTGCGGCAGAACTCGTCACCCAGAAGCCTTGGGAAGGATTCTGCCCCAAAGCGAAACCCGGTCTCTCCAGGAAGTGACGTCCTGGTTGCAGAATCCGCAGTTGGAGCAGAGAGTGGAGGACCTGAACCTTTAAGAAGCGAGGGTTTAGGGTTTAGGGGTTTAGGGGCCTGGGGTTTAGGGAGTCTCGAAAACCGAGTTGATTCATCGTCTGACGGGTGTTTGTGTCGGCATCCGACGTGCGTCAGGAGACGAAGTGGAGTTTCACAGAACTGAAGAGTGTGGAGGCCGCCGGACACGAACCCTCCCCCCGATTAAAGGAACCCTTATAGTACTCTTTTTGTAACCCTTTAAAGGAACCCTTATAGTCACCCTTTAAAGGAACCGTTAGAGTAATCTTCTTTGCCGCCGAACAGGGAATTGGGACTTAGATGTGCTTTCGGAAGCCTCCTTGCCAAGAATCTGCACCCAACCCCTGTCCTCTTAATTTGAAGGCCCTGACCCTAAACCCCTAAACCCAAAACCCTAAACCCTCAACCCCAGTCCTCAACGGAAGCCCCGAAGGGCCTCAAAAACAAGTCGCCTCTCCCATTCTCCTGACAAGCAAATCGCGGAGATTGGAGCTCTCTGGAAACTTAGACTTATAAGGGTTAAGAGTTCAGGGGTCTTGTGTTTAGGTTTAGGGCTTTTTGGGTTAAGGGTTTTGCCTCACCCCGAAAGGCCCTAGGGACCACTTGGGAGTTTCCGAAAATGGGGGGGTACCTTATTTTGGGGTCCTTATAATAAGGATCCTACTATTTTGGGTACTATATTAGAGTCCCCTATTTTCGAAAATTGGGGGTACCTTATTTTGGGGTCCTTATAATAAGGATCCTACTATTTTGGGGTCCTTATAATAAGGATCCTACTATTTTGGGTACTATATTGTGGTCCCCTATGAGCGGAACTCCCACTTGTAGCTGCAGGCGAGCCTGCCAGCTCTGTGCGTCTCTGGCCTGTCGGGGCCGCAGGGCCTGGCAGCACCCTCGGACCGTGAGACTGTTTAGGATTTAGGATGTAGGTTTCAGGGGGCTGGGAGGATTTGATCATTTGGGTTGCGGTCGGGGATCTACGGCATGGGTGTTTCAAATTATACAGGGTCTGCGCACGAAAATTTTTGGGAATAGCTGCTCCTTTGAATGTGTTTGGCAGGGGCATCGGGAATCCAGTCCTGTTTCGCTGACCTTATGGCCAACTGATCGGCGATTTGTTAAGCAACTGCCATGCATGCTTCCAAGCTGCGTTCCGTCTGACCGGTGAGGGCATGTTCGTGGTGACCCAGAAACGGATGGCATCAGTGGATGCATTAATAACGTCTGATTAACTGCCAATGCCATGAATCTTTAAGCAAGCGCAATCGGCCTCGGCCAGTGCGCTTTCGGCTTGAGTTTCACAGGCTGATGCCAGGCAACACACGACCCCAACATGTCGCTATCCAGTGGCCACAGCTGCAAGTGTCACATAGGCCTTCATCATGGAGCACATCAAGAACTTCCATTTCGAGGCTTTCGGAGGGGCATGTTGCCAGAGCATCGGAGGTGTGCGATTTGCAGTTTGCCGGTCGCGTCTGATTCTGGTTCTGGTGGTTTGTATGATCATGATGATGGTGCTGGTATGATGACCATTACTGCTGACGGTCGTCGTGTTTGCAGTGTCGTGTTAGTATCGTCATATTCGCTACTGACGCTTTTGATGGCGACAGTTTATTTGTTCGATAGTTAGACTCCTGATGGCGACGGTTGCGCTGCACATGCGCAGGCAGAAGAGAGCAGGAACAAATGCAGTATTGATGTCCGCAGTGCTGAACAAAATTGCGGAAAAGCTCTTTGCCATCATTACCATAATCATTGCATCTGATCTTTTTTGGTTTTGGATCGTTGTTCTCCTTGTCGTTTATGTTTTGCAGCAGCCTGAAGCAACACGTTCTTCCGCAGTGCTGCCAGGATGGTGTGCCCAGTATGTCACTCCGCGATTGCGTCCTGGCATCCATGAAGGCACAAGGGGTCAGGATAAGAAAACACCTGCTTGAAGGTCAGGCATGTAGTCTGGTGAGGCTCGGCCTCCCCACGCGCAAGCCCGGATGGAGTGCCCAATCTATATGGGTGGTTGTCAAAATTAGGGTCCCTTTTCGGGTCCTTATTATAACACGGCACCTCATAATTAGGGTATCCAAAAAGGGACCATAATTTTGACAAGCACCCAAATGCGATTGCATTTCTGTAAACTCCCAAGTCGCCCAAGTCTTCATCGGAAAGCTGACCAGTGTCTCGTTGGTGACGGAAGTCCGATGCACATGTGATTCTCCAGGTCTTCACTGAGCTGCACGTTCGGGTGGGTAGTAGATGATATCCTCGCATTTCGAGGCATTTGCCAGACGTTTCGCAGCTAAGCTGCCTCGCGCCTTTCGTTGGTGTAATATAGGGGCCTTGATAATTACCTACACTATTGTGGGGGTTTCTTGTTATTCTTATTGTAGTATAGCGGGCCCCAAACCCCTATTCTAATTATAAAGGCCCCTATAGTAGGCGTCGAGAACATTCCGCTGTGATCTTTCACAGCTCGCTAGCGGCTAAGCCGCCAAGCTGATGAAGAGGATCCGAACTAGAGGTCGAATTCTCTTTAAGCTAGCAAAGAGGGGTAATCGACAGAGACTCAGGTGGTTCAGAGCTCAGAAATGGATCTTCTTTGCGACAGCCGGTGGGACGACATGTCAAGCATGCCCGGTCACCAGAAGGCTTGGCTGAGGAAAACATCCTGGCGTTCGCACCGCTTGAAAGCAGTTCAGCCGACCCGCAGAACATGATGTAGGGGCCTTATACTTACCTATGTTCTTTTTTCGGGGGGTTCCTTATTCTAATTCTAGTAAAATGGGCCCCAAAAACATATTCTGATTATTAAGGCCTCTGCATTGTTGCACTTCACGGCATCATAGCGCAGCCAACTTTGTGCCCAAGAGACTGTGAACCCGCGGATCGGGGCAGCTCGACTTCTCTACTTCCCTGTCCAGCCGAGTACTACCATCATCCCAAAGCATAGCTGGGGGATTTAATGATTAGAATAGGCTTTACCAATTCGAACAGGTTTTTGGGGCCCATTGTACTATTTTTATAATAGGGCACCCCCTAAATCACCCTTGGTCATGGCCGACTCCAAAGCGAAATTGGAGAAGCTTTGTTCGCAGCTCGCCTCCCTGGAACTCGAGCACTCGCTGAAAGGCACCGAAGGGAAAGAGCCGAGGTTTTGGGTGGTGGCCGCTCCTCGAAGCGTCTCGGATGTGGCATCCTTCGTAAAGGCGGGAGCAGAGAATGTAGGAACCTGATTAAGAAACCTTGGGCCTGTATTTGGGTTCCTTGTATGAATACGCCTATTTTGGGGTTATAGCTCCAGGGTTCCTGCATTAGCCCTTGTTCAGTTATGTTCGAAGATGCCCTATAGCTATTTTACAGCTCTAGAATCGAATCGTATTGTAGTCGTAGTACAATGAAGCTATGCTTACATTATGATCACAATATTATACTCTTGCTATAAGTATACTACTTAAACCCATGTACCTACGAGAAATATACCATACCTGTAGTATACTTGTACTATTACTATATTGTATTACACTTTACTCCACTCTACATACTCTACTTGGAGGATCATGGGACTTAGTAAGTAAGGTTATAAGTACCCTAATTGGGGTTATAAGTAAGTTACCTTAATTATAACCCTAGCTACTAAGTCCCATGACCCTTGAAGTACCATAATTAGCAGGCAGCCCAGAGCCTGGCATGCTCCGTGAGTGTCGTGGGCGGGAACCATTCCGGCTACGGCGGGCTGGGGGATTCTGGGTTCTGGAGTACTATGCTTGAATGCTTTTTTTTGGGGACTTTGTTCCTTCAAGCAACCATTATGAACAATGAAGTTGGACTTGTTCCTTAAAGCAACCATTCTGAAAAATGAAGTTTATACTTTTTCCTCCCTGGTTAACTTCAAAGTCCAGGATTTGGTGCTGGAGATGGAGCACCACTTTACCGGGATTGCTGCAGATGTCACCAGCAACCTCGTCAGGGCGGAGGCTCCTGGAGATCTTTGTCAGTAGGAGGTTTTATAAAAGTTGTAGTACTGTTCTAGTCTACTATAGTATACTATAGTTTATACTACTAGACTAGAACTCAGAGCCAGGGTTGCTTCTCTGGGTTTTCCAGCATGAGGCCGGCGTGAAGCTGAAGTCTTTGGCCGCCAAGGCCGCGGAATCTGAGCTTGTGGTTCCCCTAGGCACCGCGCCGACGGTGGGTGTGGGCCTGATTCTTCAAGGGGGCGTCGGGCACTCCACCAGGCGTTTGGGACTTGCACTCGATGCCATCCACTCTCTCCAGCTCGTCACCGCTTGGGGGGAGGTCTTGACCTTAAGCAGCGACTCAAGCGACGAGCACAAGGACCTCTTCTGGGCCGTGTGCGGCTGTGGCCCCAACTTCGGCGTGGTCACCTCCCTGGAACTTAAAGCCTCGAAGCTCAAGAGCTGTCGGGCCACGCGGCGCGTCTTCCATGTGCCTTCGGAATCCCCTTCCGAGGCCGCGTCGGTGGTGCAAAGATACATGTTACGCTCGCAGTCCCTTCCCAGGGACTGCTGTGCTGACTGCTGCCTGTACCTGGCAGATGGCTCGATACAAGTGGGGATCTACGACTTCAACCTTGGGTGCGAGGTCCCCCCAGTCGATGCGGGGAGTGCCGAGTCAGTGCTTGAGCTGGTGGACGAGGGGCTGAACCCAGTTCAGCTTATGGATATTGAGCCCTACTTATGTGCCTCGGCTGTTTGTCTTATGCAGCTTCTTCTCTTGAGAAAAGACTTCTAAAATCTTTTAAGTAGGAGTCATGCGAGTCTCAATCGTCAGTCAGCAGTACCATGCACAGGCGAACAGCCTCCAGGTGTGGCGCACCGTGGCTTTCTTTCCAGCCGGCGCTTCTTTACCCGAGCGCTTTTCTTTGGTCGTGATGCCGACATAAGCGAGGCGTTGGTGGAGAGACTGTTGAAGGCTCCCAGCCGTCACTGCTACTTCCACTTCCAGCACATGGGTGGTGCTGTGGCTGACGGCAGTAGCCTGAGCAGTGCCTTTCTCGCGAGGGATGCAGAGTGGTCACTCGTGATCACTGCTGCGTGGACCGAGGATGAGGAGGATTGCAGCTTTTGGGTCAGGGAAGTTGTGAAAGTCTTGTTGCCGCTTGCTTTGGGATGCTATGCAACAGACCTTGGCCCAGACCCAGAGGATGTCGAGCTAGCACGGCAAACATTTGGCGCACATGCCGAGCGCTTGCTGCTCTTGAAGCAGAAGTGGGATCCCAACAACATGTTTAGACATGGCTTTCCTTTGTCTCAGCTTGGCGAGGCTGCCTAATCGCTCTTACCCATATACAAGTCTAAAAGTAGTGCGATTGACGGCAGCCGAAAAAGATGACTTGCGAGCAAGCCGGCTTGATTTCGTTTCTTTGACAGGGCTGGCAGTCCATAGTGCGCAGTCCTGACTTTGAGTGACCCTTCCAATGTTTGTCGCCGCTCACAGCTGACTACAGTGACAACAGTTTAGTATCAACTCATGAACCGCCGAATCGGAATCGTTGCAGAACATGAAAGATTGAAGCGTGAGCCCTTGTAGCCATCATAGGTTTGTCCAGCCGACGGCGTGTAAGCGGCGCATGGCTACAGAGCCCAATGTGGGAGAAGCTCCCCTGCACTCGTTCGCCGCTTACGGACCCAGACCTTCATGATAGCAGATAGGTGCAGCAGCTGACTCCAATCCTCAAGTCCTACACCTCACATGGTCCTCAACAAAGCAGGGCCATGTCGCTTGAAGATCTTAGCAAGTCAATTGCCCTGCTTCCTTCCTCGGGTTTGCATCAGGCTCGTGGAAGTGCAGGAGGACGTGGGGGTATGGGATATGTTCGTGGCAGCAGAGACAGTGTTCTCGTGAAGGCAGGGAAAATCCTTGACTGACGTTGCCGACGTCGGTGCACTTGTCGCAGTGTTCCTCCTTCTGATATCAGTGGTGGAGGTGTAGTCGTCCGTTTCGCTGCAGCAGCAAGAGCGTCACCAAAGGCTGCGCAAGCAGAGGCAGCGGCAGGAAGAGCAAAACAAGCAGATGCACCAGCAAGCAGCAAGAAGAGCAATCAGCACAACAAGAACATCGACAAGAGCAAGACAAACGACATGAGCAATAAGAGCGATAATGACTAGACGAAGAGGAAGACTACTCATATGAAGAGTATAAAAAGAAGAAGAGCAGCGGAAGCAAGAAGTAGAATTTCAAGACAACATGTAATAGCATGAGCAAGGCCATCAGTAGCAACAGCATCGACAATGACCACGGGCACCATACCACCACCAACCACGCTGCGTGTTTCGCTTCGAGAGGTAGTTTGCATTGTGATGTAGTTGCTGTACATGGTGGGTTGTCTACTCCAACTTCCTCGACAGAGCGGGTCTGTAGCAACTACGACGCCGGCAGGTGGCCCATTGCCAGCGAGATTTTTAGTTAGAGCCGCAGGATTTCAGGACGAGGAGCAGCAACAAACACATAGCAAGAACGACGTGGTCGGTCATCCAAGAGTGCTACGCTGCGGTAAGTTAGGTTCAGTTGCGTATGTAGCATATGTAGCAGCGTGAGCAGTCGTCATTGGCGCTGCAAAGCATTTCTTAGAGGACACTCGGCAACGGATCTGCGGCGGACGTGTGCTGCTGCGCATCCGGCTGGCGCCCGACGAGGCAGCACTGCTGCTGCTACTACACGGGTTTTAGGTTTTAGGGTTTAGGCAGGGTTTATGAGGCGTTTGTATGGTCTATGGGTGTTGACAGGGTTTAGGATATGCTTCAAGGATCAGGGAGCTTGTTACACCGGTTGTGGCACGGGTTTATAAGCATCCGCATTGGGGGTTGCCGTACTTGCAGCCGCAGCTACAGCCTCCGTACAAGTCGTCTGGTCCGGCAAGCGTTCTTGAGAATTTGTGCATGAGTTGACCGTGGGCCCGGAGCTTCTGCTCAAGCTTGTCAACTGCGAAGTGCAGCGTATTTCTTTCTTTTCCAGTTCTGCAGCGTACTGCTTTCTGTTCCAGTTCTGTCGCAACCAGGGCATAATGTAGGGGTGGTCCGAATAATTCCCGATGTTATTCCTTCGGGTTCCTCAATATACAGCAGTTGGTTAGTAGTTCGTAACAGTTAGTAGTTATTATGGATATACTATAGCATAACCCCGGGGCGTATCCTAGTTGTTAAGGCGCTGAAACCAATTTGACAACAAGTGCAGGTCGGTAATGAATCTTCCGACCTTTGGAGAGATGCAGCGCGAGAAGTTGTCGATGATAGGATCCCGGTCGGTCTATACGCCCCTGTTCCAAAACCCTAAACCCCCAAAAACCCCTAAACCCTCAAACCCCTAAACCCCTCAACCCTAAACCCCAAACTCTAAATGGGGCCTAGATGTCCAGGTGGCCCGGCCTCATAGGCCTTTGTGTAGCCAACTTGTGAACAGTGGACCTGCCAAGAGATCCGAAAGAAGCAGAACATGCGCGTAGTCTGGGGGCCTAAATAATTTTAACGCTACGCCGCCCGCCTCGGCTGTGTAGCGGCAGGGCGAGGGGGCAGTCGATGATGTTTTTTTATGCTAGGGCGGCCTGTCAAACCCCAACCTTTACACGGTTGTTGATACGAAGTGCCAGGAAAACGGGTACAAGGGAGGGGGGGGGGAGGGGGGGGGAACCACCAAGACCCCTGGGCCTCTGGCCTCGGCGGATTACCCAGACTATTTTGGGGGGTCCCTTGTTATAATTAGTTATAGTACAATATCCCCCCCCCCCCCAAAAAAAAAAAAAACGCTATTCTCAGTATTAAGGCCCCTAAAGTAGCCGAAGCAGGTCGCCTCTCTTTCAGAGCCGGATCCCCTCTTCAGCCTGGTTCCTCGGACGGCCTATCTGCCCTTCCTGTTTCTTTGTCATAGTTGGGAGCATTTTTTTGTATTTTCATGGGTACCTAAACCCGCTAAGGAATACATATTCTTTTTTTTACCCTAAGCCCTAAACCTTGAACCCTCAACCATGAACTAGGTTTCATGATGTGCTTGAGCACTTCAAGAAGTCGGCTATTGCCCGGATGGGACAGCCCTACGAGCTCTGGTTCGACTACAATCACACGGCGCCCGGGCTCTGATTCCATCAGTCTTTCCGGGGTCTTCCTTTCAGAGGGTTTAGGGTTTAGGGTTTAGGGTTTAGGGTGCTCTGATGGTGAGTGGCAGATCATGTTTTTGCGCTTCTCTGAGGCACTGAAATGGCATTTTCCAGTGGGGGTGCTGTGTGACGCCTTGGTTGGCGTTGAGGCCCGGGCCTAAGTAAGTACCTATACCATTTTGGGGGTTCCTTGTTATACTTATAGTATAATGTACCCCAAAACCCTGTTCCAATTATTAAGGCCCCTATATTAGCTTCAGGCCCATCCATGAACCCCTAGGTGGCATGGCTCAGAGTGAGGCTGTAGGATCAGCATTTCCAGTTGACCGGTGGAAGGCTTGGCCGGGGCAACCCCATGTACCTATATAGTATATACATGGGCCTTAAAGTAGTCCCTATATAGGTACTTTAGGGCCAAAGTATCTAGTATATGGGTACATGTGCCCAGCCCCACCGGAAGCTAAGCAGCTGACCTTCAGAGCGGAACCAAATGATGTACACATGCGTCGTGAGGTCCCAGTACCACTGGATCTTACCGTTCACTTCCGTGGAAACTCGGTGATGTCCGACCTGCTGCCCTTCAGCCGCTTGGAAGCAAAATCCTGACTCCTGTAGGCTGTTTTCGCAGGCTTTCAAGAGCCGTTCCTGTATTTTATCGGCCCTGCCCTGTCTGTTCTGATAGAAAGGAAGAAAAGCGCGATGGCATGAAAAGGAATAGGTTTGGGTGGCTTGGCCGCCTGATACGGCGTGGGGTGGGAAAGAAAGAAGGAAAAGCTTGCTGTAGACACGCTTTCGCAGCTCATCGCCACAGTACGATGCGCTTGACACAACCTTGTCGCAAGATACTATCGCCTGCGAGCTGTTCCACAGCAAACCCTAAACCCTATCCCTATACCTCAAACCCTAAAGCAGCCTCTACCCCTAGACCCTATACCCTAAACCCTATACCCTAAAATCTAAACCCTAGACCCTATACCCTAAACCCTAGACCCCCAGACCCTATACTCTACACCCTATACCCTGAACCCTAAACCCTAGCCCCTAAACCATCCTAAACCCGAACCGGAGAGAAGGTGGCATGGCCGATCTCCAGAGGTCCGTGATGAATGCCTTCAAGCAGGCGCAGCTTAGGGTTTTTGGGGCAGGGTGTTAGGCGGTTTGGGGTTTAGGGTATAGAGTATAGGGTTTTGGGGTTTAGGGCTTCGGGTTTGGGGGTTTGGGGTAGAGGGCTCAGGGTTCAGGGTTTGAGGTATAAGGTTTAGGGTTCAGGGTATAGGGTTTAGAGTTTCGGAGCCTTGGAAGTTTCGGGGCTTGTCAGGCCGAAGGCGGAAGTCTTCGAGGTTCACGACTGAGGGGTCTTGAGTGGAGATGGATAAAATCCTGCATGACCTTAAGGACCCTAAACTATGGGAACTATGGTATATTCTTTATATTGGGTCATGCAGGATACTGTCCATCCACAGCAGTATCAGCCGGTGCGACTTCTTGGAACCACCCCAAAGTTGACACAAGTATTCCCTCCAGTACTGACTTTACTGCCCGCAGTTTCATCGAAGCCCAAGTCTGCCGATCGTAGACCCCGAAGCGCGAAGAAGCCACTTGGGTGGTTGTCAAAATTAGGGCCCCTTTTTGGGGTACCCTAAATATTAGGTGCCGTATCATAATAGGGATCCAAAAAAGGGACCCTAATTTGAGAACCACCCATATGATGTTGAGTTAAAACCCTAAACCCCTTATAGATCCCTTGTAGATCGCTTATAGATCCCTTTAAAGGAACCCCTATCTCCACTTAGCCAGGCAATCTTCCTGGAAGTCGGCTCCGCGTCGCGCTTCATGCGCCTGGAGAAGATCCTTGGAAAAGGTCTTCCTTTAAAGGGATCTATAGGGGTTATAGGGGTTCCTTTAAATGGATCTATAAGGGTATAAGGGTATCATAGGAAAAGGTCTCTGAAAGCACAGAAGTCATAGGAGGCCTTTTTAGTATTGGTAATCATCAAGGCCCCTATATTAGACCCCTTTGTAGCCCTTATAGACCCCCTTTAAAGGAACCCTAGCCCTATTCTTCGTATTGAGGCCCTAAGTCATAGAAGGCCAAAAGCGGTTTCAGCGTATGGGGGTTTAGTAGGGAACTAGGGTTCCCATAGTAGGGTTCATATTAAGGAATCCCTACCCCAAGAATCTTAACCCTCCCTTTTGGCCTCCCATCAAGAAGGTTTGGAGATTGCGTGGAGACCGCCCCCCCCGATAGCTAACTGAACGAAGCTTCAGCACGAGCCGAGAGCTGAGGAAAGAACACATGATGCTCTGGGATGCAATCCTTCAGAGTGACATCAAGAGCTTCTCTCAAGTGGAGGAGAAGCTAATGTGCAGCACTCTGGCAGAGTGCAAAAGTCTGGCTGTGCGTCTGCATATCTGGGCGCCTGCTCACGACGACGAGGTGCAGCGCAATGACTCCACGAACAATACACTAGCAGTGCTAGTATTCGTAGTATGTAGGGCCACTGCAGGGTGCAGGAAACCACCGAAGCCTTGCAATCGGTTGGATGTCCTACAGGTGCTGCTGCACAAGGCGCCGGCGAGATTCAAGGGCGAAGAATCCGACGAGAGCCTGACCGCAGTAGCCTCCACTCCAGACTTGCCTGCGCCTGTGTTCGTTCTGCCTAGCTTCGTCTTTGGCGATGACGATGACTGTGATGATGATGATGATGATAATGGTGACTGTGAGTAAGAAATGGTGATCGATGATGACGATGATGATGATGATAGTGATGCCGACGATAGTCATGGGATGATGATGATGGTGATGATGACGACCGTGACGAGCACGACGACATCGATGATGCTGATAATCATGGCGATGACGCAATGGGCCGCGATGTCGATAATGATGATGATGATGATGCTGATGACGATGGTGGAGAAGATGATGTTGCTTTGATCATACTTGGTGCTGGTGGTGCTGAGTGATGATGTAGGCTGCCGTGGCGCGAATGTCTTTCGACGACGATGTTGGTCAGGATGACGATGATGACTTCTGCGAAGCTGCTACTATGATCAAGTCGTAGGGCATAGGGCTGACCTGCAGGCACCGGCCCTCCGCGAGTCGGGTGCAGCCTTCACGTTGGCTGACTTCTTGGCCTTGGCGATGCCGCCGCTGCTCAGCGCGGCCGGGGATGCTCTGGCAGAGGGCGTAGAGGCGCTGAGGTCTCGGCCTAGCGCGTTTAGGATTTGGGATTCGGGATGTGGTTGCATCCAGGGTTCAGGCTTTGTTTGGATGGCTGAAGAAACAGGCTGAAGAAAGATTGACGGAAGGATCACCGGACCGGAAACAACACAACACAACGGTGCAAGTAGCTGCACATGCTGGCGCAGCTTGTGGCGAAGGGTGTGAAGGGTGGACGACAGCTTTTGTTGAACTGGAGGCGACTGCAGAGGTATTTGGGTCGTCCAGGCTAAATCGGTGTCAGATTCTTGGGTTCTTGCCGCAAGGTGCTGACGCAGGGCCTGATGCTTGACCTGCATTGGCTTCGTTGGATCCGCGCTCTTGGGGCTTATAGCCTTCGATGTCGGCCTTCGAGTCGTTTATACTCAATGCTGTATCTATCAGGTGTTAATACGCCAACATCGTTGTTACTAGCATGATTGCAAAAGCTATCCTGCTGGTACTGATTATGCCATTATCTCTTTGGTGAACTTACGGTTTGTGGTGCCTGCTGAGGATAGTTCCACTGGACACGCCTTTGTTCTGGCTGGCCCTACACGCCAGCTACCTGGACCACTTTGTGCATTTGAGTCTCCTCTCTATCAGCAAAACTTCTGTCCTTTTTACCCCAGGTGGTGCGAATCGGAAACCCTGAGCCCTAAACTCCTGGAGTTCGTAAAGGGCCCATAAACAAACCAAAAAGCACACAAAACTCCTGGACTCAGGATTGCCAGGGTGCCGGACAGCTTTCTGAAAGCCTAGGGAACACCTCCTAGAGCCGAGGAGCCGGCTGTTAGTAGTTGTTGTAGCATAAGTGCCAGTGTTATCAACATGAGTTGCTAGTAGTGATTCTTCCATGCAGCCACTCCAGAGCTGTCTACGCGATTAGCTTAAGGGAATGCTTGTCATGCTAACTACTGAACTGTATTTGCTTGGTGCTGGCCATCTGTGATGCAGACATGCTGTCTGTGCGAATGCCACGAGGCCGAATCCAGAAAGGCACTGCTGTACATACATGCTCCCCCGATTGTGGTGATTACCGTCCTGCCTGTAGCTTTTAACGCTGATGTTGGCCTTACTATCGGTCAGAAGACAAGAACAAAGCTACGGGCGTTGTGCGGAGTGAATGCGCTGAGCAGAGCGATGCGGCGGAGGAGAAATGTCCCGTTCAACCACTTCCGACACGGACGTACAGGTTTCAAGAGAAGGTATGCAGAGTCAAATTGTTAAAGACCATGATGCTTTTGAATGTGAAGGGAGCGTACGCGTCGTGCTCAAGCATAAGCGTTGAGTCAGTGTTGAGTCATGACAGCTCACACTCCCCACCAAGTCGTTAGCTAGCGCCTACCGATTGAGACATCCGCCGCATGTAAAGCCACAGGTTACTGCCGCTCGCAGATGAAGTCTTAGATATGATATATTTCCTTTGTGCGGGGTTCTTGCCGAGCATTGTTCGGGGCATTCCTCAATGCCGAAAGATTGTAAACCGGCGCAGAGCTACGGAAGAAAGGCCCTGGGAAATTGAAGAACTTGTGGCCCTCCCTGTGGTGCCATATGCTTCATTGCCCATGCCATGGCTGAGTCAGTCCTAAGCCTCAGTCGCAGAGCAGCAGAGCATTGCAGGGAAGGTCCCGGGGCCTGGTGCTGAGGTCCGAGCCATGGGATTGGCTGATGAGACCGAGGACGGAGACCAGACGGAAAAGGACGACCTTGACGAAGAGGAGGAGATCAAGCGGATCCT